TTGTTTATTTTTATATATATATATATATATATATATATATATATATACTGGAAATACAAACCTGAATTTACTTTATAACATGTAAGACTTCAAGCTTGTACGAAAATATAAGAATCTATTGCTCTCCGCCTATTCCTGTAAGTAAGGAAAGGATTTCTTTATGTACTTTTTATATGAGAAAATTGTTCCATCATGCCTATCTAATATTTTGAAATCATTTTTGATTTACTTTATAACATGGAAGACTTCAAGCTTGTATGAAAATATAAGAACCTATTGATCTCTGCATATATATATATATATATATATATATATATATATATATATAAAATATATATATATATATATAATTTCTTTTGGGGTGATGTTTGATGAGTTTTAACCAGGAACTGTCTTCATTTTTTAATAATTTGTTGGTTTTGTTTTTGTGTCTCTTTCATGGCCTTGTGATCATTTATTTTTTCATAGATGTTGTCCTCGTTGATATAGTTTCATTTTTTGCTGATTAAATATAATTATAATACCATTGCCTTTGTCAGAATGAGATAAATGAATTTGATATTTTTTAAGGTTTTCAGATATGTGTGTAAGTGTGGTTTTTCAAGTGTGGGTGTAATTAGACCCTGTATCTTTTGTTGAAATCTTAGTTATTATATTGGTAGTTTTTAATAATGAAATAATATCATTCTTCAGCAATTCGGTGGCAGATTTTAGGTTGAAGCTAAGAGCTTCCAGTTGTATAACTTTGGATGAATTTGTAATTAAGTTTTTTCTGATGACTTTAGCCCATTTGTTTTTAGATAATAATGTATTTAATTTATTTTATAAACTAGAGATTTATTTATGTAATTGATCAAATTTCTTAGTTCACTCCATTAAAAAAGAAATGAAGACAGTTCCTGGTTAAAACTCATTGAACATCACCCCAAAATAGCCATTAAATGTTAAGTTGAAAAACTTCCCTCAATTTTGCAGAAATGATTCCACTCTTCAAGGGCAAGATTATTCAATTTATTAATAATTATCATGTCTAGCTTAAGAATACATTTCATGATGTCAAGAACATAATGGTTGGTTACTCATTTACAAGCATATCCATTTGCTTGTGCAGATAGCCAACCCCTTTTACAGAAGCTTCCTCAGGCATATTTGTGTATGTTCAACATCCATGGAATCACCTGTGGTTTATACTGCAACTATGCTGAGCAGACTATAAAACAAAAAATAGCATTTTTGTATGCTTTATAAGTAGTTTTATCCTTTATATCACTTTCTTTCATGATTTGGTGTGAATAATCAAATAAGTTTTGGCTTCTATATTAATTTTTATCTTGCAAAAATATTGATTTCTCTTTGATCACTGAAGCAAAACAAATTTTCTACCTGATTGCTACTAAATGACCATGTTGAGCATTTGACATGTTGTAAAGGAGTGGAAAAAATCTCTTAACATTCAGATGAAGGCAATAGCAAATCTCTATAATTTTTTTTGTTTTTGATCTGGTGGTTTGTCAGGTTTTAGAAAAATGTGGCTATGAAACTTCTGCTTAGTTAACATTGAAGTAACAAAATATAATTTATTTTTTAATAGAAATATTGAGAGAAAAATCTTTTTAAATTCATTTGAAAGAAAGCCTAATTTTAAGTATTTAAAATCTGAGTTGGATGTACACTAGATTCTTAATTATGGCAGACATTGATTGATTTTTGTAAGACTGTTAATTTTATTAAATCTACATAAGTAAAGCGGAGTGTATATAAGTATGTCTGTCTGTCTTGGTGAATAATAAAAATCCTGAAGTAACAGGTAGTAACTACTGTAGTTACACGTGATTAAAAATTAAATAAATAACTCATTTAAAGTTCAATTTAAATATTGAACAGGGAAAAGTTTAAAAACAATTCTTTATTAAGGGTTTAACTTTAATTTCGCTTTTCATCACAATTGATATCATCTAATAAAATCTTAAGTGTGGTATCTCAATTCTCAAAATATTTTTGGAGAGAGCAGTTTGGAGTTTTAGTCTTGGGTTGGAAAAGGGGTGTCTATGGTTATAAAGTTGGTCCCTCCCACCACAGAAATCCCAATATAAACATGGTGGTTTGATCTATTTTCTTTGGGGTAAATGGTAGCTTGATAAATAACATTAGATGCTCTAAGTTTTCCTTTGACTGGACAAAGGTTGCTATTTCTACAATTAGAGGGTGGGATCCATACTAGGATTCTTGTTGACACCATTGAATTTATTTAGGATATACTTGTTGTGGGAGTCAATTATTTTAAACATGTTATTTGTACATGAATAACTTATTTTAATAGTTTTTTTTATTAAAGATCTTACTTAAAGGGTTATTTTGAAAATGTTTATAAGTTTCAAGAAAACTTGTCCAATATTAATTCTGGATAACCTACAGAAGGAAGAGTTGAACCATATATTTCTTTTTCTATTTTTGTGCCTACTACTCCTCTTATCTTCACTAGTGTTATTTATGGGGTTTAAGTAAGATAGTTTATTAACAAAACCACTTTTTTGGAGAGCATTTTCATACAATTTCTTGTTTTTATTAAAAATATATTAGATGACAGTTTACAAATTCTAGAACCAACAGTAATTAGTATCTGCTTCAAGATAGTATCAAGGTGGTTAGAGTCAACGTTAGTATAGTTAGGGGTTTCATGTTCCTTATGATAAGGCTTAAACGCATTAGTATTCAGTAGGAAAAAAAGAAAACCAGGAAAAAAGTAATTTTCTCCTTTTTTTTTTTTTTTTTTTAATCTCCTCAATTGTTCACATCACAAGTATTATATATATATATATATATATATATAAAATTATTATTAACAACCCAAGTATTATATATAATACTTGGGTTAATAATCTATATAAAATACTTGTGAACAATTGAGATCTTTTTTTTTCCTACTAATGTTCACCTAATACAATACCCAAGAGCCACTCGAGGTAGAGGGTTACTGGGTGGTGTTGTATGAGCATAAGGAGGGTCAAGTAGTAAAGTTTGTAGGGCTATCAAGGAAAGACAATGATTAACCCTTGACATGAAGTCAAAATTGTAATAATTGGGAAAACATCCTGCTGGGAGTTTGTTTCACAAAACAGAAGTTCTTGGGAAGAAGCTGTCTGAATGGAATTTACTTCTTACTATAGGAATATGTGAAGGGAAAGGGGGATGATTCACTCTTGTGTATGTGGCATTTTGGTCCAAGTTTTAATGGTTAGTGAGGTGGGACTAAGGAATGTAGCTCGTCAGAACACATGCCATGGAAATAGCGACAGAACAATGTTTTATCCATGGGGGAAAGGGGATGTAGGGGGAAAATAATTCATTACCCACAAGGCCTCATAAAGTTTTTGAACTCTATCAAAACAGGCAAGTGAGGACTGGGCAGCTCCAGCCCAGATATAGCAGCAATACTTCATATTTGGTCTGATCTGGCTCTTGTAAAGAATATTGCAAGGGGAGTCAAATACTTAATGTACTGGCAGTGAATCAGGCAGTGATTCAAGACAATTCATAGATAGTTATGAAAGGCAATGATCCACTTGGAAAGCTGGACAAGTATCTCTCAGGAAATTATTGTCCAAGGTCTTCCTACTGGACTGATATGTATTAAAAATGCAAGGTGCATTCAAAGTTTTGAAAATTTTTTTTTAGGAGAGGCAATTATAACTGTCCTAGATTATTGTAATTTTAGTATATCATTACTATATATCTAATAAGGTGACCTGCTGACTTTTGTTATTCCAGATTGAAGGAGACAGATGTAACAGCTCTTTGAACACACTATTATACACTGCTTGTAAACAGCTGACTAATTTGCAGAATGTAGTCAGGACATAAAAATAGTTTGGAAACTTGCTATGCAATAGTTTTGTGTTAAACTGGGTAAAAGTGTTACAGAAACTTATAAAATGCTCCAGACTACTTATAGATTAACTTGTATGATCTGAGCATCTGTTTTTTTTTGTTTTTTTTTTCCTGGTATAAAAGGTTCAAGGATGGAGACTGTTGTGTGTCGATAAAGACAATAAGCATACAGTTTGGAGTTGGAGTGGGAACTGCATAGACAAAATACGTGAAAAGTTTCTTCCCAAGGAATGTGCTCAATGGCAAAAAAAAAAAAAGGAAAAACAGTGATGACAGCTGAGAGATGGTTGATGGACATCAAAACTGTCCCTCATCTTCCCTATGGTCAAGACCTTGCTCCCCAAACTGAAGGAGAACCTCATGGGCAGTTGTTTTGAAGACCTTGAGGCAATGAAGGAGTCCTGAACACCTCCACTTTGGATGACTTTTATGGCGTTTTCATGAACTGGCCAAAGAGCTGCAACAAGTGAATTGAAGTTAGATCCTTCTTTGAAGAAGATTTAGTTTTGTACTTCTTTGAAATTAAGAAATGTATATCCTCAAAACATCTGGAATGCACCTTGTAATTCATAGTGATGAAGGTTGTGAAAGTAATGATTGTCCTGGAACAGTTTGCAAGTTATTTTACCAATATTACATCACACATTGACAGTGATAGCATAGTGGAACTTCAATGGGAGAGGGCAGTGCCATTTTTTTTTTCTTTTTCTAAACTTCAAAAGAAGTCTTACCTATAGTCAGGAAGAGTGAAAAACATCCCAGTCTCATGTGGTTAATGTAGATATTTACTTGTATTAGAAGAAACAAAGTTATAAACAATAAATTTTTGACAAGTATAGAAATTTTGTTTTTGTTTAGTGGGATATCAACGCCTCTATGGGCTATTTAATGCCGAAATCTAGATATTTTGTAAGCAATTAATAATAGTTGTTTAGTGATACAAGTCTTACTAATTTACCCATGGCTGGGGATGGGGAAAGAACAGGTGGATTCATACCTTTCCCAAGGTTAATTGCACATAAGTGAATATAACAAACACAGCTGGAATTTGAAATCAACTCCCCAATCTTGAATTCTGAGCTGTTATCAGTTATACCACCTGCACATCCAAGCTTACAGCTCCTGGTATTACCAAGCGGTCACCCATCTAAGTAGTGTCCAGGCTCAATTTTGCTTAACTTCAGTGATCATATGGGGAACTAGTGTTTCAACATGATGTGTCTGTAAGCCTATATAGCAATCTGACAAAATGTGTTGAATGCGTTAAGTTGATATTATTTATTGACTAGTATTGAATTTGTAAGTAGTAATAGCTCTGTTCTGTCACCTTGTACAGTATTAAGTAGCTATAACTGCTGAAATGTCATTGTCAGGATTTAATCAGAGAATGTATTCTATAAATCATTACTGATTATTCAGCTGCCTTGATCCATGGTTAAATCTCAAAATAATTATATTATTAACTGATATATTTAGTTGAGACATCAAGTAAAGTTCTTACACATCATGTTGTACTCTTTACTTTAATCCCTGGAATTCTGGTTACTATAGATGTAGATTGGATGTTATGTCTCTGATTAACATTATTTTTTCTTGTTTTACTATTATCAAGATGATGATAATAAAAACAGAAGGATCAAAGAAGTAGATGAGCTTAAACCACTTGCAGTAGTAGAAAACGAGTGTGTAAAGCTGCTCTGGGAATCCACCATGCAATGTGATAATATACTTGAAGCAAGAAGGTAAGATATAATTACCATTCAGAAAGAATGTTGGATCATCAATATAGTGGTATCAAGGGATATAAGGGTAGTTGAGAAAGCAACAATCTAAAACTGTGTGTGTGTGTTTTTTTTTGGGGGGGTAGAATGCTTCTTGGGGGCTTAAGAAAATAGAAGTTGTGAGCATTCTTGGGACAGTGATGAACAAAATCAAAAAATGATTCAGTAAAATTTGGTCTCTGATTGGAACTAAGCAGCTTCAGAAAACCACCCTGCTTGGAATAGCCAGAATTCTTAGAGAGGTTTTAATGCCGTAGAAAAATGAAATTTCAGGACTCATGGTCATTTATGATATACTCCTGATTGTTAAATTATGGCATAAGATCTATTTGAGGCAATAAGGAGGAGGATGATGATGATAGTTGTAGTAACAACAACTTTAGGCTACTTGAATGTTAGCCAATAAAACAAGTAACAGAAGTGGGGGAAAAATCTACCATGGAGGATCTCTTTTTATTTTAGAGAGAAGACTAAATACACATAGTATGGTTGTCATCTCAATGTAGAGTATGACCATAATGTCTTGCCATGTTTAAACTTGACATAGAGGTGACTGCCATTGAATATGTGTACACAGCTCTGTATACATGTTATATAACACCTTACAACTGCCATAATAACATCTGCAACCTCTGTCAACAAGAAAAGTTAACAATAATGACATTTCCAGATCCCAAAAACCTTTTGAATCAAAATATATATAGGAAAATCCATGACATTTGAAAATTTTTTTGTGTGATGCATTTCATTCTTTAGGACTTCATTGTACTAAAGTGTTGTTTACATCAATATAGGACATATGTGCATGAAGGAGAGAGGATAATGAAATTATCTTTTTAAATTTAGATATTTTTTTTATTTAAATGTTTTTAGGTATATAGTCGAACCAATTTCCTTTAGTTTCTTTTTATCACTTTTGTCATTAATTATCCCACACTATAATAAGAGAAACAGCCAGGAAAGGTGAAACGTGGATGCAAATTTACTTTAATTTAGCAATTAAAGCACTTTATATACACTTTTGTCTTTGTAAATTGCTTTTAATTTTAATTGGGCATTTGGATGGCAAGTACTTAGCATATTTGAGTGCATATAAGACCCACATTTTCCCTAGATATTAAAATCTCTTGTTGACACGAAATAGGGAACATGAATGAATTTCTAGTAATATTCAATATACCACCCAACAATTTTTTTTCTTCATAATCCAAACTGAAATGGGGAGAGTGTAATATATGCCAGCAAATACAGGAATAGTTGTCTTATTAATATTTTTATATTTTAAGATTCTTTCACACACACATATATAATATATATATATATATATATATATATATATATATATAATGTGTGTGTTTAAGGAACAAGTAAGAAAACATTCATAAATTTAGCATGTTTCGCTATTTATTCTGCTTCATCAGAATTTTTTTTTTTTTTTTTTTTGTGAAACAATGCAGAGTTGTATTTTTAAATAACAATCTGTTTAATTTATAAATGTTTTCCTACTTGTTCCTTTTTTTTTTTTTTTATTTATTTATTTCATCCATATCTTCAATTAAGGTGCAGGTGCTGAAAAGTTTTTGGACCGACTTAGAAGCCTTTCAAAAAATTGTGATTCTTAGTCATTTGGTCAGATTTTTGCAAATGAGATCAGCTGAGAATTCTTTAGAAACTATTGAGTGCATCTATATACAAATAATACACACACACATTGTGTTTTACACATGTGCGTTATCAATATTTACATTATGAATATTCTAAATTTTTGAAAAATTGCATGTTATTTTTTTTAATTAAACAAACCAGTTTTTCAAGATCAGTTATTTGCAATAATTATCAGTACTTCACACTCATATTAAAAATTAATTCATTAGCAATCAAATGAACAAATCAATACTCATCCTATTCAGGTTTCAGTATTTCTGGAACTATTTGGCAGACTGTAGAGATATAAGTCATTCAACCATCCATAAAAGTAACACTTGTTTATTAGTGTCGCTGTTGCCCAACTGAGCAAACAGCTTGAAATAGTTTAGTAACTTAGTATTTACCAAACAAGGATAATGTTTTTCTTTTTCTTTTTTTTCTGCTTTTTTTTTTTTCTTTTTGTTAGAAAAAAATCTCTGCAGTCTTGTTAGGCACACATACACATTATCATCTGAATCTTGTATAGACAAACTAGAATTAGAATACACTTACACACAAGTTATATATACAAACACTATTTTACAAGACATGCATGTGAAGTCTGCTTAACCAATGAAAAACAAACAGCACAAACATTAAAAATACTAAATTTTCTCCTACATATTTCAGTCTCTGATGAAGCTTTAATAAAAGTGAGACCTGTTAGATTTATAAACATTTCCTATTTATTCCTTATTCTGTTGGATTTCGATCCATATTGGATCTGCATTTGATCCCAATTAATCTTGCTAGTATAGTGTTTGCTATTATTCAGTTATGACACTTTCACCAGCCTCTTTAATATTTAAAAATGCTTTTATATATTTTAATAATCATGCCTGCTGTAAACTTGCTTAATGTAAACATATGACTGATTTATCATTGCTTTCTCTGAAAAGTGAGATGAGAAGAAAAAATAGTTTGTCACTTAAAATGCCATATTTGATGGTCTATAATATTTTTTTTTATTTATTTATACTTAACTCTGTTATATTGTAATATTAAGCTAAGTGAAATACCAATAGTTTATGTATGCTATCAGATATCATACTTGAAAATTTGAATTAAAGAAACTAAACTTTATATTTCGTTTTAATATTAGGAATAGGATTTTGATTAACTGAAAATTTATTTTAGGTGGTTTGTTATTATAAAGATAAGAATTTTGCCTTGTATCTTCAAAACAATTATCTTCTATTTTTCTTGTCAAAAGCTAAGGGTGGATTTTTCCTCATGCACTTGTAGAGACAATGGTAACAAGTTTGTGTCTACTGGTTTCTGTTGGTGAGTCAGTTTAGCTGGTTTATAAATACCAACTTTTATAGAAAATGCACAATCTTCAGCTGCATACAATCCTCACCTGCAGGTAGGACATGTCTTAAATTTAACATGAAATATTTTGTGAGAGGGGCTACTGTAAAGTTCTCAGCCTAACTTAGGAGGATTTTCAATACAAGTCTGATGTTTGGTTAGATTTTGGCAAGTGGATTGAACCAAGAACTTTACAACATCCTCTCATATTCATTTTAAAATTAACTGAATGCTTTAGTACCGGATTGCTCTTCATTGTGTATTATGTGGAGTGATTTTGAGTCCTTTTTTTTTTTTTTTCCATTATGGCTATGTCTTGTATGCTTCAAAAAATTTTTATTTTAAGTTTTTATTTATTTATTTATTTTTTTGTTTATAGCAAATATTTTAACCAGATTTATTCAGTTTTTCTTGAGTCTCTAATTCACATTCAGTAATTTAAACATATATACCTTGCCCAGGTGGTAAAAACTTATATGCTTCAGTCCCAAGGACCCATCTTCCCAGGCAAGACTACTTTTTTGGGAAGGAACTGGGGTCATTATCTGATGCCAGAAGCATTCTCAAGAGTAGAAGTACTGAGAGGTCCCAAGCCTTTTTTCCTCTTAGTTTATGTATGCATGGGCTACCTTAAACTCTACTTTGCATCTCCTTCAATTCTAGTGGACATGTGGCTAAATATCTACTTAACTGGCTCAGCCAATTGGGTGAGATGTGAATCCATTTCCTCTCAACCTACCAACTATAGATTAAATAGTAGGGTTGACTGGGTTCTCTATTCTTGGATGGCAACTGGTAAAACTCTGAATTCTAAAACATGGAGAAACTAAGTCCTGGCAATTTAGAGATAATAAAAAGGAATCTTTTGGAAAGTTATGATTGCCTACGTCCTGAAGGGATGAGGCATTAAAAGAAAAAAAAGGAAGAAGTTAAACAGTCTGCCTTTTTAATACTTTAATTTGTTAGTAGCTGTAGGCTCTTAACACAACACTTGACAAGTGTTGACCTTTTCTGTAATATTGGCCCAGGAAAGATGCCAACAGCATTATTTATAAGGACACTCATCTCAGCATACTTTAACACTTTAGTATGCTTACATGAATATATTCAGTGTTGCTTAATTATTTATTGTGTTAGAAAATAAATCTCTCTAAAGTATACACTGATTGTATAACCTAACAATATAATGGTTATTTAATCAAGAATAATTGGTTTGTCGGCTTCATAATCTTGTAAAATGTTTATGTCTGCATTTAAAGATGACAATGGATTTGTGAACTTATAACATTGACTTAGATAACTAAAATAATTTCATATTAATTTATTTGATTAGTGATGATACGACTGCTTGAAAGTGTTTCGATGATGGGTAAATGAAATGTTTTAAACTGAAACATCTTTATATTTTTGTATTGTGTATTTTGGCAGCAATCC